AAAGTCATTTGCAAATTTCAGGTTTAAATGCTTTCCAAACCTGCAAATATGAATATTTTTAAATAAACATTACTACATATTTAACAATTAAAATACATTTTTTTCATTTAAACTATGTATTTAATAATTTAAAAATGTCTAAATTATAATAAATAATTGAATTAAATAAAAGATACCAAATTTGGTTTAAGATATTCATTTAGGTTGTGTTTGGTATGGAACAATACTGATCAAAATCAATTGTCCCACATTTTGATGCGATATGAGACAAAATAAAGACTAAATGCTTCACACTTGACGCGATATGAGACAAGACAAAGACTTATTGTTCTACATTTGACGTGGCATAAGTTAGGAACAACGACGAGAATAGGGTGGGACAGAAAAGACCTTTTTATGTTCTACCAAAATAAGTGGAACATAAATCACAAGGATGAGACATAAATTAAAGAATTATTAATCTGCCTTTATTTGATATAATAATATAGTATTTGTTTTAATGTTTKCCCTGTMCACCTCCGTCTTCGACACAATCACCGCCTCCATTTCATCACCACARGTAACCACCATGTCGAACACTACCGCCTCTACCTCAACCACCACCACCTTCTTCGACCGAAGTTGTATCCACCATTGTTGCTGCAACACTTTCCATCATGTCATTTCTTTTTCCATATTAGGTTTTGCTAAACTTGTACGTTATTTGGTTAACCAGTTCCTGATGTATAGGTAATCCARATACTTAAATGTTTGATACATTACACATCCTAGGTATCAAAATGAAGGTTTTAAAACTATGTTATTCAAAATAAGAATTAGACCGAGGTATGTTGAATTTTCGTGCAATTAACCCCGAGAGAGATTGGTGGGTGAAGATTGAGAAATTGGATTGCGGCCCTATTTTAGTACCTTTTGGTTATGAATTATCAGATGAAATGGGAATATAAAGACACTGTAAWGGCGAGAAGGAACAGCAATGGAGAGCGAGCAAGAAGGTTGACCAGCAGGGGCTGAACTGAATCCAAAAAGAAAAAGGGCTGAGCAAGAAGAGCGTTTTGGGGGAAAAAKAATGGAAAATGGCTGAATCCATAAAGCCGGGAGGTAATATCTGAATCTACTCGGCTGAGAGGTTAATCATTAAGCCATATACAAAACTTCCGATATGGTTGAGCGAATGAACTCTCTATACCATTAAGCCTATAAAGCCGTAAGCAAACAAACAACTCCTTAGCTAATGATCCAAAATTGTTGCAAGTGTGTACACTCGTCTTCATAAGGTTGTGCTGCTAATGCATTAACTACACGATATGATTTCCTAAATACATAGTGCAAGAGATTAGAAGGCCAAATAGAGCTAATGCCATTAATGAATGCACGTATAAACCTAGGAGGATCCAAAACCTTTTAATGACATCCACTACTAGCAGCGAATCGACTGAATACAAAATCTACCGCAAGCAATGGAAATAGCAAACTGCAAACATTCATCTTTTAAGTATCATTGACACCAGAGTTAYAGTAATCAATGAAAGTGAAAACCAGTAGCAGATGTTAAAATTCAACTTATAGGGAGAGGCAATCAGAACAGATACTTTTTCAAGAGGATTGGAGTTCAAATATGAACCATATCAAATAAAGACAGTCCCTGAATTCTTAGAATTTTAACAATGTTAAACTGCTTACCAAACATGGACCACAAAGTACCCATACATTCTATTTTTTCTCTCCACTTATGAGGTACAAGTTTTGATAGCCCTTTTGACCACTTTTTAAACCATTGTTCTGGTAAGTTTTACGCTGATCGTGTTGCCAAATCTAGACTCTTCGTCAATTAGTGTATCCTACCGTATTACATTGTCTTTTACCTTGTTTCTTGCCACCCTTTTGCTCTTGATCTAAATATGGCTGGCCAAATACCTGTAGATAATACCATCTAGCATGCATGTACTTGCACCATTATTTTCTGAAATGTTTTGGTTTCTGTTGTTTGTAACAGGATTCACAGTTCCRGTTCTGTCTAATTTGCAATCGGAAATCCTATACTGAACCATAATAGGACTCTAAGGTTAATCATTTTGTGTGCATATTTTGTCAGGCAGTGAGTGGTTCTATGATAAGACCCAGATGCCGAAAAAGAGAAACCAATAAGTTTCCAGTGACAAGTCCATATATTGGAATCAGTGGGATATGGAAAGTCGGTTGAAGGTGTTCAAGGGGTCCCTACTCCCTAGCAAGTAACTCCCTTCATGGTGTTTTTTATTCATGTTTGGTGGATCGATCATATTTCATTGTTTCTGATAAGATCCTTCTTTATTACACCTAGTTCTTGAATGAGAAGTTTGATCTGCTGTTATGTAAGCTCCCGTGAGTTGCTTTGTAAAGTTTCAAAGCGTGAAATGCAACTTTATTTTTAAATCCCACTAGCAACCAAACATCAATACCCCAAATCAAAATATTATGTATAAATGTTGTTGAAAATTTTGGTACAACAACTGCATTTGCAGATCAACATCTCCAGCTATTATGCAAGAGACAAMTAAGACACACCTTCACTCAGTAGTATTCTATTCAGTAAGTTAAAACTTTATTACATGCCTGCATTTGGTCGAACAGTTGGTGGGCAGTATTTAAGCAGCGTTCTTCCTGCCAACACCTTGCCTCATGCTCTTTCTTCTTCCTCCCCAGCCCTGCATAAGCAACAGTTTCCTTCAACGGAAGACGAATAAAATGATACAGAAACAAATTCATAGGTGAAATGGAAAGCGAACCGTGTTGAGAGGCAATGGTTCAACATCCACGGASACTAACGACATCTTTGCGATCTCTGAAATGGCAGCGTCTCTCGATCCGGCGACGTCGCTGGTCAGGTGCTCGTATGCCGCCTCGAATGCTTCCTGCCAGAATCTCGGCAACCGTGTCGTCTTGCTGTGTGTGTAGACATTCCAAAACCTCCTCACCAGTTTCTCCCGCTCCTCAACTTCCTAATTCGTTCACAAATATCATTCAGATCCAACTGAATTCAGTTATAAGTGTGTGTGTGTGTGTGTATACAGAGAGAGAGTAGAGAGATTGGTACCAAGATGTCGAGGTCGCGGACCGGGGAGTCGAATGAATCAGAGAGAGGATTATTAACGTTGCCGGCGCCGGACCATTTGAGAGTGACGGAGCCAGTGAACATAGACCAAAGAGCTAGTAGCAAAATTGCAGCAATTGCCCATAACTTATACCGACCTTTACTGAACAAACCACCACCGCCATTTGTACCGTTAGCAGCGGCAGTTGTAGCCGACAACACCACCGGCGGTAATCCCTGCTTCTTTGCTGCTTCCACGTCGTTCATWTCTCTTCTACTACGATCACTGAACCTGAATTACTGCTTCCAAGTTGTTTGAATGACGAAATCCGTGAGGATAATTTGTTGAATGGAGGATGGGAATTAAGGTCGTATTGGGTGGTTGGAAATTCCTAAATTCAGTGTGGACTTGCTGAAGAATGATGATGGAAGGGAGTGATTGGGTGTGAGACAGTCCATGGTGTCGGCTACGCCAATGTTTTGATAATCTTTCAAGAGTTGTTTACATTTTTAGTCCCTAACATTTGATAGTTTTATTGAACTTAGTCCTTTAACTTCATTTAGTACAAATGTGAGTCGGTACGTTACTTTTTGTCTGTTAACTCCGACAAAATGTGGCATCTAAGAAAAGAAAAAAATAAACCCTCTTCTCACCCCTCAAGGACGGACCCAGATTTTTTTTTCAAATGATGACACATTTTGACTATAAGAAAAAACTACAGAGAAAAAATTTCAAACAGTGGCATCGGTTGACTATAAGAAACAAATATACAAAAAAAATCCAATCGATGACACTATTTGACTAAAAAAATGACACTAACAAGAGAATTTGGGTCTGGAGTGGAATAAAGCCTTGCAAACCAACTCTACCAAATAAGACTTGTTCTCATTGTAGTTTCAAAATACATACGGTGGCACACAACAGATTAATATGGTTGCACCTTTCACGAACCTAATTTTTTTTACCCTTCGATGAAGAAATAATACGGTGGCACGTGCCACCGTAACCACCGTGGTAGGTCCGCCCATGTCACCCCTCCCCTTTACCCTCTTTTTCAGCC